ACAAAGCCAACATGGCTGAGTTTCTAAGGAATATTCCTCCCCATGGTCCTGTATCGGTGCCCTCCCTCTTTCCTGCATGTTGTTTGTATCTCTTCAATTTCTGCAAATTAGCCAGTCACCCTTCTTGGCTCAGGAGCCAGAACTGAACTTTCAAAGAGCTGTATGTGGTTCTCAAGCCACAATTTGGCCGTCCAGGGTTAGCGCACTGCCCCATTTATGTTAGGTGATGGTGAACTATGAGGAAACATTGGCAGGCTTGCTTGTATTACAAAGGATGCAACAACAGTCACTGGGCTGTAGTGATACAGATCTAAGAAAAGATATTTATGTAGGATTTGGGCTTACCTAAATATCATCAGAGAATCTTCAGTTCAAGAAAGTAACCAGAAAAGGTCCACATGTCATTTCTGCATGTAAACAAATTTTACCATGGTGTGTAAGGTTAAACGTGAAAAACTTAGGATGGAAATATTTTCACTGACCACCTAGTATTTTAAAAATTACAATGCAATGTCAACATTTATAGCATTTCTGACATTTACAACAGAACATGCACAGATGTGTCTTAGGTGCGTGCCATAAATAGGGTAATCCAGAAGAAGGTATGCTGGAACAGTGAAAGATTCTGTGCATCTTCCACCTGTAGTTCATATCATGCTGCATGTAAAAAGTTGCTGTTCACACTGCTCTGTGAGCAGAATAATCCATGGGTCATAAGGAGAAGACCCAAACCAGAGGAGAAGACCAAAAAAATCAGTGGCCATATATTTGTTGTGGTATGTGATAGCATAGATGATGTTAGAAACATCCGTAGAATAAACACTTGCCTATGCGAGTTCAGGCCACAGTCAGTTGGTTTTTAAAGTGACATTAGACTCTTTGTTTATTTTTGTAGGATATGCAGTTTCATGAAGCTAGTAATGTCTCTATTCCCGTATCTAATCCAGCAAGACTGACTTTGCCTTCTAAACATTTCAGGCTCGCTTTGATTTTCCTCATTGGATTGTTAGTGAGCAATAAATGTCCTGCATACCAGACAGGAGGACAATGAGTTAATTATGCTTGTGAAATGCATTTTTTATGAGGCAGATTAGTTTCTTCCATTCAAGAATAAAAATAAAAATCTACACATATCTCTTGATCAGTGGACACTTATTACTATCATCCATTCATGTTGTAGGTAGAAAATAGCAAATGTGTAAGTCATGGATTCTGAAAAAAATGGTTAAAAAAGAGACTTTGATATTATTTATTAGTAGACAGGACCACTGCAGATTTTGGCAATAATCCACTGGGCAATGTATTTTTACAGCTCCCATCCATTTCAGTTTTCCCAGTATCCTTTTTCAGGATCCTATTAAAATGCAACCTTACTCATGTCACTAAAACTGCAACCCTAGGTAATGTTTTTGTTGTTATGTGCTGTCAAGCCATCTCTGACTTATGGTGACCCTGTGAGTGAATTCCCTCGCCCCGTCTTTCATAGTCCTAGTCAGCTCTAGTAAACTCAAGGCTGTGGATTTCTTTATAGAATCAATCCATCTCATAGTTGGTCTTCCTTGTTGTCTTCTGCTTTTGACTTTCCTTGGCATGATTGCTTCTTCAGTGAATCTTGCTTTCCAGCAGACTGAGTAGGACTTACTTCCAGGGAGACACATACAAGATTGCACTTCCCAATTCTGAGAGAGTTAACCATCTTTAAACTTCACGGAACTCAAAGGTGTAATTTGGTTAGATCTGTGCAAGGGCTGTCAACCAAATCACAGTTTCTGAAAATTATTTCCTTGCTGTACATTAAAAAAACAAAACAGCCATTAACACAGAAATGCCTTTATTGCTATAGCACACATTCTGCTTATGTAGGACTATTCCTCTGTTCCAGCATCTGTGAACTGTCCACAGTTATGTTGATGGCCACCCAAGTTCAATAAATACTCTTTTACCATTTCTGCAATCCATTATTAGTTTTACAGTACTCTGGGAACATTAGGTCATATCCCATCTCGTTTTCCTTTGGGAGAGCACAACTTACATAAATATTGTTCTCACAACGATCCATACTGAGTAGCAGGAAATGGACCTTTTTCTTCAGTGTCCCTTATGAGCATAAATAGGTACATAATGTAACTACTGTTTACAAAAGGAGTATGGAACCACTTGGTAATTAGAAAAAGATTGATGCACGTTTCATTTAAAATTGATAATAAATGCAAAATCTGAGGGGGCTTAAAGTTGCCACATAATAACATAATCCTTTCTCTCCCATTGGTTTAAGGAATAAATCATTTCATACAGCTGTTTTATTCACAGCTGCCTTATCCCTTGGCCTTTCAAAAATTTCGCTTCCAATTGTGTGCTTATGCATGTGCCGTCTCTCAGATAGGATTTGAACAGACCTAAACTTTGGAAAATTAATCACCTATAACACTTGCTGCATGGTTAGATGTCTGTACAGTCTACATAAAATACAGGATCGTTATCCATGCTGAAGTTTTCTTTTAACACATCAACATTAGGAATATTCCTCTGGAAATATATGACCATAGCTAGCTAGCTATATAATATAACCATATGTGACACTTGCACTAGACATTACTTCAAATATTTTGCAAGCAAAGACTAAGGATTATTTACACAGCTGTGAAGATCCAAAATGTCTCCTCTTCTCTCCTCTCCTCTCCTCTCCTCTCCTCTTCTCCTCTCCATCGCACCAGCAGGCCCTTTCCTCCAGTTATCCCCTGGCTGTGTTCCTTCCTAAAATATTGGGGAATTGTGGAATGGGAGCTGGTATAAATTTGTTGCATTTTTTAGTCTTCTGTGAATTTTAAGACCCTTCATTTCAGCAGTTTTCAACTTCTATAGCACTTGCTTCCTGAGATGTCTTGTCCTTGGAGTACAGGTTTAGCATGATTTGAGGCATTGCATGGAGTTCCTTATAGGCACTGGGCGCAATGGCAGTTGCTTTCCAGATTAGTCACTCAGTAATGAATCATTCCTCATGAACATTGCCTTGCAAAACGGGGTGGGGAGGAATTGCTGCTATGGCTCCATGTCAGTCATGGTTAGCACATTGGGAGAAACCTCGGGAACCCTGGCTCTCTCATGTGAACCCTTTCCCTTCCTGGAGCAAATTCACCCATACATTCAGTGAAGAAGTTTACTCCTGTGTTAAGCACAATAGACTTAACACAGTTTCCATTAAATCCATTTCATTTTCAGATCCTTTAAGACAGGCACCCCCCCCACACACACACACACACCCTTTCGAGTCAGTGGGCACATCTGGAATTTTTGGAGAGTGTTGTGGGTGTTCTCACAAAACAATTGTCATGGGGGACTTGTGTGCTCATAAAATAGCTACCAGGGATGGCATGGCTGGTAACAAAAGACTCTTCCTGTAGTTTGCTCTACATCTTCTTAATCAATTCATTTGTAACTCAGGAATGTGTAGAAAGGAATTCTGAATAGCTGCCATGGATGACATGGATGGTAACAAGACACTCTCCTTGTAATCAGGTCTACATCTTCCTAATCATTTCATCTCTGACTCAGGAATGTGTGGAAAGGAATTCTGAGTGGCTACCGCACTCAAGGCATGTATTTTTGGTGGAGAGCCATAACACGCTGATCATTTTTAAGGATGGGCCATTCCCCTTTTTGAGCTGGCTCTGGAATCTGTGGTTCTGATAAGAGTGGGGAAACTGCTATTATGCCATAGTGAGAAATGTTATTCTGCTTGTAATCGCATCGCTTTCCATGATATGGAAATTTCAAACATCTGCCAAGTCAGCTTTGGTCATGGCAGTCACCACATGGGCAAGTTGCCCTTTGCCAGCCCCCAGCCACAAGCAGTTGACCCATGAGACGGGATCAGCTTTTTGGCTTCTAATCTAAATTTTAGGAAATGTTTTCAGTTTAAGTTTTCTATTCCTTTGAGTTGTGTCTAATATGAACATTAGATACTTCAAAGTTTTCTTACTTTGGCTAGAAACAGGTATTACCTTAGCATGTGAATTGTACTAATAATATTTGCTTATTTTTTCCATAGAGAATATTGATAAAAACCTCAAGAAAAATCTCAATTATGATGTCATGCAACAATTAAATTTTACAGTACCCATTCCTAATCTTTTCAATGACATAATTGTCCATTAAGTCCATTGGTTATTCATATGCATGCCATTCAGAATGATTTTTGTCTGCTATTCTAATCATTTTTCCTTTGTTTATTAATGTTATTTATTAGTGAATGTTTTCTACATAAATGTTTATTTGAGATTATTAGTGCCTTTATCATGCTGTGGGTAATCTCTGTTCCTTATCAAGGTAAAAAAAATTACATTACTCACATTTATTCCATAATAAGTGTCGACATGAGTTTTAATGTATAATAACCATATTAACTAATATGGGTTAATTAATCCAAGTAAAAAAATCTATAAAGACAAGCCCTCGGGAACAGTGTAATATTTAAGTGCAGGTTATTAAAATTCACTTCATGAAAGTAGCTAGTGAGGCAGAATTTTCCCTAGATGTTATTCTGAGAATGCAGGCTAATTTTAGGTCAATATAATCTCCTTAATGTTCATCATTTCTAGCAGTTAGATAGAATTGTTTTTGCAGTTTTTTTAAAAAAAGAAAATTAACTGGCTATGCCAATCAAATATATAGTTCTGGCATCTTTAATATCTGGGTTTTGTTTTTTTTAGCATCTTGGTAATTATTTTCTTCTCATTAAAATGGTTTAAGTAACAAGATTATTCTACCTCTCCACCGATTTGAGAAGTGGGATGTTGCTAACCTTGTCAAATCACAGAGTATGACTTGACACACTCATTGCTCCAATGAACAGATCTGCCTAGAATCCCACCCAGAGTATAGAGAAGATATGAATAACATTAAAAATATCCCCTGTGGACCACTGTTATAGACACTAATAATTAAGCAGGAGGGATCCTCCTTGCTAATTCTAATTAACTTTTTTTTTAATAAAAATTAAGGTTCCCCAACCAGAGATGTGGGCCCTTCACTAGGCCTGAAGAAATCCAGTTCATTAGAAAGTTTGCAAACAGCAGTTGCTGAGGTGACTCTGAATGGGGATATTCCTTTCCATCGTCCGCGACCACGGATAATCCGAGGGCGAGGGTGCAACGAAAGTTTCCGAGCTGCAATTGACAAATCTTACGATAAACCTGTGGCAGATGAGGATGATGAAGGCATGGAAACCTGTAAGTAAACACTTCGTGGACATGATCTTTTAATTCCTTTGATAAATGTTTTTGTTATGGATGACCCTGTTAACCTGCAATCCTGAACAAGCCCCACTGAAAACAGTGGGTGTGCCAAGTATATCTCTTTCATTCATTCGCCAGATGGGCACTGTGGGCTTCCTATAATCTCTGGTCTCCAATTAGTGCAACATAACATCAGCTTTCCCCTGTTGCTTCTGTGATTGCACCACCTGTTAGGGAATGGTATCACGCCATTGGCCTTACAGTGGACTACATAATAAGTACATATTCGTACTCCTACTACTTTCCTTCCTCCTAGATCAGGGTGGAAATCTGTAGCCTGCCAAGCCATTTCTGGTCATCTGCCAGATCTACCACACTCCACCCCCTGCATCCTCCAGGGTGGCAGCATCACCTAAGGTTTCCTTTCCTAGTCCTAGAATAGAAATGCATACCTTATCTTGCTACCTGATAACAGGCAAAGAAGGAATTCCCTTGCTATTTTTAGCAAGAGAAAGCTTTCCTTAGCTCAGTTACCCCAGCAGAGTTCAGAAATAAGCCAGGGAAATATGTTTGTGTGTATTATTTATTAGAATTTACAGACTGCCTTACCTGCTAAGGAGCCCTCAAGGCAATGCACAACAATGTAAAATAGCAGCATTTTAAAAGGAATGAATTCATACGTTTGCATGTGTGCATGTGCCTGCCAGTGCAACTCTCTGAGCCAAAAAAGTGGTACAGCCCTATTCTAGATTCTTGTTCACAGCAACTTTTCTTCTACTCTGACCTGCATCTTCCCATGCTACATGCTTGCATTTCAAAGAGCACTACTTGTGGCATCCATCACACACTGGAATTCTTGCATTATGTAATAAATGTCCGTGCTGTGGCAAAAGAACCTGGTACCATCCAGTAAAGCTGAACGTTGGGAGATTCAGGATAGAATATGCCCACGGTGCACAGTTAAATTGTGGAATTGCTACTGCAAGGTGTGGTGATGGCCACCAGCTTGGTAGGCTTTAAAGAAGGATTGGGTAAAATTTATGGAGGCTATCAAACTCATTTATGGTATATATGTTTTGCGGGTGGAAATCTTTTGCATGGAAAGCCAGAATATAAAATACATAAAAACAATAGGAATGGTTTTCTTCCAAAGATTAGCAAAAAGGAGAAGTAATAAGTAGTACTTGGAATGAAAAAATGTAAGCATTAGATATTCATCCATAAAGTCAGTAAAATTACTTTTATACCTTAATTAAAATACAGAAGTTTGGCAGATCTAGTAAAGCATAAAGTTAATGATCAGCCATTACCCACCTTAATGGACATTCATTTACATTTTCAGTTCCTTAACCCTAAGAATGACCCAACATGTGCAGGGTGTCATTTACATAAAATAATCTCTTCAAGCATAACCATATCATTATTGAATTCTGCATCAGTGGGCTAGTAAAATGACAGCCCACATTGGAAAAACAATACACTGAATAGGACATTAACTCGAATTTGGCAGAATTACTGGAAAATTATTTAATTTTTTATCTTAATGATGTTACATTGTCAGTGTCTCTTTGCAGAATATTTTTTGTTTCACTTTACAATTATGCATTAAAAGTGTATGAATGAAAAAAGAAGCTGGGAAGCTTAAGTAATTAATTTGTCCACTGACACAAGTAGTTCAAGAAATTAATTGGCACACTCAGCTTTTTATGGATGTGTTTACATTTTAGGAATCTCTTATCCTAATGAATGAATTTGCTCCTACCAATTCACCATTCTATTTTTTAACTCTCTTTCTAATATTATCCTGTAATTGAATGTGAGGACATTTGAAATATTATTTTCTCTTAAATACTAGCAACAGGATTAATTTCACTTCCTTCCACACCTAGCAACTGTCAGAATCCCGGAATCTCAATTTGAGAAGAGGGAATAAAACTCGGGTTTGTGGGAAAGATCAAGCGTCCAGACCATCTGAGGCTTTATTGTACTACCCCAAGCTTCCCGCGGTACTCAGGATAATTATCCGGGCAGATAGAGGTGAACTCTGCTGCAAAGCTTCAATACCATTACAGGGCATTTATAGGTACACAGGTACAGGGCAATTGATGACAGAATGCAGAGATTACAATAAGATTCTGAGGTCATCACATACAGAACAGATAAAGAAATGTCAGTCAATCACACAGTAACAATGAGATTACAATATTTCTAATTGCCTGTATTGACACTTTAGTTCAGTAGCTTGAACCCATCTCCAGGTCTGCTTAGACATGTAAATTCAAGCTACTGAGAAACTATGCATGAGCTCAAGACTCTTATCTAGACTCCAGACATTCTGAATTGGCCAGGGCACATGGAGCCTCTGGGCTAGGAAGATACTTTCTTGAATTCCAACAATGACTATTTACAATGTATATTTAGACTGAATGGCCTGTCTACTGTAGCCCACAGCTAAAGGTGAGAGAAAGGAGCGAGGGAATGCTCCTTTTAAACAGTGACTGCTTGGTTTTGAGAAGGAAGACAGGATTTGATCCCACAATGCAAAGGCACACAGAAGTAATGCTTTTCAGACAGGATTTATCCAAATTTTCCCAACACAACCAGAAATGGAATGAGGGCTATTCTTATTTCATGCTGCCAGTCTAGTCTAGTTGACCTGTCATTTAAATTCTCTTCTATGGAGGTTAGTCCTTTAATTAAAGGGTGCCAAAGGATTGTCCTGTCTTGGAGACATCTTCTGTTTGTAGGACTGTCCTTTCTAAGCCTGCGTAAAGATAACAAGTCCTAAGTCCCGTTGCCTGTCAATAGTTGCCATGTGGTCAACAGACTGTTTTGGCAGGTGCAGAGGATACCCAGTCACTGTCTTCCTCACTGTGGTGACTTTTACCCTATTCCTGTCTAAATGCAAATTTAGAATTAATGGCAGTAATTCTAAATTTGCATTTTCCTATATACATTTTCATGTCCAAATTCTATGCAGATTAACCCTCTTTTGTCCAGTTTTTAATGCATTTCCTCTCTTTGGCAATTCATAAGTAACCACCCTACATAGGACAGTAAACTTGGAATCCCACATGCTCCCTGTATAATTAGAAGACATATCTGCTTAAAGAGCAGAAGGTGGGCAAGAAACAAAGTTTAAAGGGCCTTGTAATTTAGATAAGGCTCCATCTCAAAATGAAGATATGCAGTCTGAATGTATTAGTGAATGCTGGGGTCAGATCACACATAGTAATGCATTTGGGGAGAGAGAAGCAATGACTGAATTTCACTTCTGGAAACAGCGCTTGCACAGTGTTGTAGAAATTTGTACCTAATAAAAGTATTTTCTAACTGGAATTCGGGCTTCATAAGCTAAGTTCACAAATTTATCCTCACCAATGAACAATTAGTCAAGCAGGGTATGGACTGCAAGGAAGGGAGAGTTACAACTGAGCCCTATCTAGGTGGGTCATGTCCAAGTAATTTTTAAAAAATGAACTTTTTGGACAAGTTCAGAATTTAGAAAGCTGTTTCCTCTCTTTGCAAAACCAACATTTAATCTTGTTAGCCAGTAGCACTTTCCATGTATTGAGTAACAGTTGTACTGAATTGTTCATAAAAATATTTTGGCCACATCCTTCATGGAAAAGAAAAGAAAAAAAGAAAGAAAAGCTCACACATTGCTGTCTCCTGAACAACAGGCTATTCAAACAGAAAGGGGCTGATGGGAAGGCCTTCAGTTTGGAGGAGAATACCTATAGATTTAATGCCTATAATCAGATAGTCACAGCTGACTTCTTGGGGTATTTGGATCATATGAATTGCAGTGCTTGTTTTTGAAACCTTGGAATGGCTGATAAGAAACAGAGTTTCCATTCTCTGCTGTGTTGTCGGAGAGCAAGTCATTTGAATCTGAATAAATTGGGAGAGTCTTCTAATCTCTCTTGTGTCTTAATTGCAACAGCCTCAGCTTGTATTAAATAACACACTAAGCAGGCTAGAATCGCAGTTGTGGAACAGCTTTACATTCATAGGCGCAGTTTCTAATGTGCATTTTGCTTATTTTATGGAATATTTGGGAGAGCATTTTCACAGTACTTTTCCTGTTGGCTTTTTTTCCAACAGAATATGTCCCTGCTCTCCCATTGCAGTCCAAAGGACTGTCTGTGGTTTTGCCCGCAGTGAAGTGGGAAGAGACCCCTTTCTGTGTTTTTTCCACGTCATCTCTGGACTCTTACCAAAATAATAGAGATGTCTATTAATGAGGACTTTGTGAAAAATCCTTGAAGAGATCTTTTATAATGGCAAAAAGAAAGCTGCATAAGTGATCTCATTTAATGTGTGTTTAAAGAAATCCCAAATTATGACAATCTGTAGGAAATACCATGTTTTCCCAAAAATAAGACCGGGTCTTATATTAATTTTTGCTGCAAAAGACGCACTAGGGCTTATTTTCAGGTGTTGTTTTTTTATGTACAACAATCTTCATTTATTCATGTACAAAAATCTACATTTATTCATGTACAAAAATCTATATTTACTCAAATACAGTCATGTCACCTTCTTCTGGAACATCATCATAACTCTCCAAACCCTGAATTGTGTTGCAACAGACTTACTAAATGCGTCTGTCTGGCTGATGATCTTAACTGGGGCTTATTTTGGGGGTAGGGCTTATATTACAAGAATCCTGAAAAATCATGCTAGGGATTATTTTCCGGTTAGGTCTTATTTTCAGGGAAATGGGGTAGATTCCACTTGGTAGAAGAGGGCCTGGTTATGGGAGGACCATGTGAAGCGGCATTGGTACGCCCTTCCGTTTCTGGCAGAAGCGTTTCTGTTGGATGGACCGTTTCTGTTGGTCCATCTGGTGCCATGTGGTCTACCATGACTGGCAGCAGTTCTCAAGAGTTCCAAATGCTAGAAATTCTTGGCGATTGGATTTGTGTCCTTTTGAATGGAAAGCATGTACATTACCACCAAACTACAGTAATTCCCATTTATATGTATGTGTGTTTAGATTGGCTCTAATCTGAAGAAGGATGCAGCCAAGAAGTATTCCTCCCTCCTCCCATCGCCTTGCATGTTGCTTTTAAATGTGGGCATATGTTCTTTTATTGCATAAGAGCACTTTACAAGTGCTCAGAGAGAAGCTGCTGTTCAGGGAGATACGTTGCATGTACACAAATAAAACAGTTCTCTGAACCAGAGCCTAAAAAGTGAATATCAGGCCCTAGTTGCCTAAACTAGAGTTCGGTGTGGAGTTGAAGTTACATTAACACAAAATATTGTATGAATTGAATGGCAGAGCAGCAGGGAAGTCCATATAGAGCACTTAGCAACAAAGGGGGAAATTGGGGCCGCCTTTGTTCTGTGCGGTGCACTGGAACCCTGCAGAATTTTTGATTGCAGTTAAGAGGCTGAAGTATTGTCCCTATTCAGAGGCTGTTTTTCCCAGAGCCTGAAATGTGCATTGCACAAAACTGAAACCTGAATGTTTTGTGACTGTCAGTGGATGGGGGCACCCAGTGAAGGAAGGCGGAGTACATAAGAAGACCCCAGTTGCCTAAGCTGAAATCCCATCTAGTCTAGCATCCTACTTCCCACTGGATCCAACCAGGAAGCCACTATGCAAATGTTATCAAAGGGGAGGTGTATAACTGCAGAACATAAACAGCCTGCAAGGGAGATGGAAGACAATCATTTTGCTGTTGTTCCCCCTTCTCTGAGGCAAGTGGTACTCTGAAGGTATTCTGCCTTTCAGCATGAATACAATCTCTTGCTGATCGGCTGGAATGACTCAGTACTGAAATAGCTGGTGATGATCAAGAGGTGTGAATATTTAGCAGACTGAATGTCACAAGGTGGGATTGATTGTTTTTAATAGGAAGAGAAGGGTGCATAGAAATACTTCAATAAGCTATTAAGCCACATTGTGATTATCACTATCCTTATTGAATGTCAAGTAGGATAAATTACTTTTAATTGCGCTGTATTTTTCATAGTGCCTTAAAGCACAATGTGTGTGAGCCCTCATTTCTGATAGCCCATTGTAGCTTGTATTGCACCTTCCTTCACCTGGCCTCACCTTTTGAAAAGCATTGTAATAGCTCAGTGCTCAGGATAGACATTTTTATTTATTTATTTTATTTCTGTGAAAGAATGGTACTGAAGGTGACTAACAGTAAAATCTGGCTTAAAATAAAATCTTAATTGAGCCATAACAAAACAGATTAAACACACACACATAAATACGATTAAACATAAAAGAATCAACCCTCCCCAATCAATTTTAAGTCCTCTCTAGCACGGGAGACTTGTACGCCAAAGGCCTATCTGAATAAAGCTCCCCCTGTCTACTGGCAGAAGGGAGGGGGCAGCCTAGCATCTCTAGAGTACCATTGTATAAAACACTGTATGTTTCCATTTTTATTTATTTGCCAGCTTAAAGGAATTGGGTTGGTGTTTGAACTTGGAATTTAGAATTGAGTGTCAAATGTGTGCAAACTGTTCTTCATTCCAATATACGTACCAGTCTTCAAGGTAGGTCCTAATTGTGATGGATTTTGCATCCTTCAACTACACTGAAGAGAACGGAGTGGGTCCAGGGCTCTCTCCATAGTCTGTTATGATGTCCAACTGGACCCATTTTCTTTACAGGTAACTGAGACATTACAGTAGTGTTTGGCATGCGCTTTTACAACAGACTTGTAAAAGCAATTCAGAAGTTTTGCTTCTATTTCGATTATTCATTTGTTTGTTTGTTTTATTAAAAGCTTTTCTAACCCGTCCACTACAAAGGTCTCGGGGCAGCTTGCAATGAATGAGTTGAATAAAATAAACACCACAGCTTCCAACAGTTAATATGCTAAAACCCCAGTTAAAATCAATTCAACGTTAAAATAGCAGGAAAATAAAAAGCCTTTTGCCTGATGCCGAAAAGAATATAACGTCAGCACCAGGTGAATCTCTCTGGGGAGCATATTCCATAGTCGGGAATATTTCAATTAACTACTGCTTGTATTGTTATCCGAGTTTTACAAACAGTGGTTAATCTTAACTATGATTTGCAAAGCTGATTTGCTTCAACAAACCATAATTAAGATTAACCATGGTTTAGGGCTGAGACATGAAGCTAAATGGTGGTTAACTGAAATTAGAAGTGAAAGAGGAAGGGCAGGAGAATACATTAGACATTCCTATCATGAGAAACCAGGTTTAATGCACTATCCAAATCCAGCCATTGTGTAATGCATGCACACATGCAAAGTACCAGTTTTAACTAAACACTCTACCTGCTCAAACAAAAAACCATGCAGAACCCACATGCCCCTCAGAGACAAGCAGAAAGCATCATAAACCAGGGACTGCAAACTTACACGTGTGTGGTTGCTTAGTGGTTGGAGGGTGATGCTTGTTGACCTTGAGTGAACAAATATGGGTTACCCAACACTCATGATTTTATTTTTAATCTGAATTTGTATGAAATTTATGCAGAGGAAAGTTTCCTATCTTTCCTTCTACCCCCTACTAAAATTATCTTATTCTTTCAGTGGAGGAAGACACTGAGGAAAGCTCACGATCAGGAAGAGAATCCGTTTCCACATCAAGTGACCAACCATCCCATTCTCTGGAAAGGCAAATCAATGGCAGCCAAGATAAAGGGGACCGAAAAAAAATTGGGAAGGACAAGAAAAAGGATCGCGATAAAGAGAAGGATAAAATTAAAGCCAAGAAGGGAATGCTCAAGGGCCTAGGAGACATGTTCAGGTAGGCGCTGCGTGTATTTTGGCAGCAGACAATTTGGAACTTTTGCATGCACTCATTATTCTTATGACAATGACCATTTCCAAAATATGGCAAACATACTGTTGAATGCCCCTTAGTCAATCATGCTTTACCACACTGCAGTTGGCACCTTTTTGTTGTGTCTCGGTACCGTTTCAAGACTTCTTAGCCAACATTCAAGGTTAAATAAAGCAACTGACATCTTTGTTCCATCTTGGTAGGGACCAGCATTTCTACCAAATGAAGGAGTATTCAAGTAGTCCTTGATATCCCTTAGGTGCATAATGTTTCATTACTGAAATGTTACAGACCCAGCTTATATCAACACTAGCTGATTTGAAATATGAGTGTGGAAACAGCTTCAGGTAGCATGCCTGAGACTCCCTCCATAATTGGGGTAGCATTAACTAATCCAGGACAACCTCTTTGGTTTTGCAGTATGGATGGAGAAAGTTTCCCAAACAAAATGAGGAGCTGTATAACTGGCTTGCCATGTAAGGCTTTTATTTGTAAGAAAGCCCGGTATTGTGGTTTGAAGTGTGAACTGAACATTAGCAATGCAGAGTAAGGATTAATTCCTGAATCAGTGATACATTAGGATACTTGGAGGTAGGATTTTTTTTTTTTTTTTTTTGCCCTGCAGTTGCTTTGCCACTTTCACAGAATTTTAGGGGAACTCCAGAGAAAATTGGGCCCGTGCACATGATTGTTACAGCCTGCCACAGCTTATTTAAACCCTGTTGAGTTGTGGCATGTGCTGGTGGCCTTTGTGAATGTTCAAGTCATGGCAGATTGTCCCCTCAGCTTTTTGCAAAGGCTTATTCACAAGTGTAGATTGTTGCCATGGTTAACAAGCTTCTCACAACCCATGTGTTGTTTTGGGATTAAGTGCTTTGTTAGCCACAGAAACACCAAAGGATATATGAGAAATCATTCCACTTCTTTTTTTATCAGGATATAAAAAACCTTCTGGATTAAACACAGACTCAGATTTGGAAAAATATGCATGAAAGTACTGTCAGATTTTCATGTGAAAAGAAAAAAAAATCAAACCTTACAATCTGATAGAGAACTAAGTCAAAACAAGCCTTTAGATGGAATTGAAAGAGTTTAGTGAGCTCTGCACATCCCTAGCAACAATTTACCCTATATGATAAGCTGTGGCAACCACTTGCCACAACTTGAACATTTGCAGTGGCTGCCGGTGTGCATTGCAACTCTTGAAGTCTTAAACGAGACACTTCTTGCAAGTCAGATACCTTGCAAGCCAGATGATTGCATTCCACTTGTAGGCCCCACAACTACTTCCATCTTTTTTCTTTCCATTACGGAGTCAACACACACTTTTACCGACTGGCAATTCTATGTGCTCTCTGTCTGCAAGCAGCCTAAAAGCAAACTCTTTGAACTTTGACTAGGAAGTCACTGGGCAATCCCAAAGGGTAGTACTGATTTGAGTATTAGTGTATTTGTTAGTTTTCTTATAAGAGGTGAATGTTGGCTGTTTTTGCATGACAGGTATAGACCCAAGCAGGCAGTGGAAGGGGGCAGGTCTGGAGGTTCTGTACATAGCTGTACACTTCCCCATCTATTTGCAGAACTGTTTTGACCTCTGGCATCCTTGCAAATGTGTATACTAGTGCATTTTCCACATTGAGAGACTCTTAGACATTCCTTTTCTCTCAGTCTGCCCAGCATTCACACCTCCTGCACGGAGAGGCTCTATTAGCCATAAAGCTATCTAACTTCACTTGGCTTCCTAGTTTTCTCCTGGTTCCCATTGCCACACCCTTCCAGGAACATTATCTAGCACTCTGTGATAGATGGGTGGGTTTGGCCATGCAGTTAGTTGGCAGGAAATTAAGAGCTTCCTCCAAGCTCTATAATCTCGTCCAAGCATTTTCAAGGGATTCGTGCACCAAGGTCCCTGAATAAGCTTCTTGTTCACTGAATTTTGTATGTGCTCTGATGTAACAGCCCTGCTTCTGGACTACCAACTGGGATCATAAGCCCAGTCCAGAAAGCTCAGACTTGCAATCTTTGCTCAGCTATGAAGTTTATGCAGTGCTTTTGGGCAAGGTATTGTCTCTTAGCCCACCCCTGCCCTCATGGGGGTTGGTGTAAGGATAAAAGGAGATGAATCAAAATATGAACAACATGGTCTCCATCAGCAGTGACCATCAGCAGGCCGTTCTGAGGGAAATGAGAAGGGTGAGCAGGGTAAACAACTTTTTCCCTCCTTGTTCCTGCTTTCTTGGGTTGTGATTTTAGATTTTAGACTGCAGACTGGGGCTGCCTGGCTTTACTGGTGACACAGAAGATGCTCAAGGAATCTTTCAGGCTGAAGACCAGAAGAAAAATAATTGATACAAAATTAATGCATCAGTAAATGGCAGAAGAAGCTCTGTCTTGCGAGAGCTCTTGTGCTGCCTAGACAAGGCACGTTTTAAAGATAGGTTTCCCACTTGCCTGATGTTAATAATAAATCCATTGGTTTTTAATTGTTTATCTGCTATAGTTGTCCTGATTTTTGTATTATTGTTTAAATTGTTTCACTGAATATTGATCCCCTTTTTTAAATGATACAAGTTGCCTTTAGTACTCCATTGACAGGGGAATGGCAGGATTTGTTTATTTGTTTATTTATTTGCATAAATAAAAGATTGGCCAGCTGTTTTGAGGGAGGCTGTGGCATATGCTACACAGTGGAGTAACTCCAAAATGCACCAAGATGAACAGCCAGATGAGAACACAAACAGACGCACATCTCCTAGCTACAGTTCTGTATAGTAAAAGTCAGCTCTCCTGCATCTTTTATCTCTTCTCTCACTTTGCATTATATTTCTGTATAACTAATCTCAGTACTGGCTTGCTTTCAACAAGTGAGGCACTATCAATTTTCTGTTGATTGAAAACAAGACACGCTGGTCTTAAATGGAGAGGGTTCGATCAAAGTCTGCACATTTGCTCACAGAAGTGGCTTCAAATGAACAGAAGATTTCCTCAGCAGCCCCTACCCATGTCACCTATAGCTACATGAAGCCCACCAGTGCAAGGTGGAGGACGGAGGCATACTTGATTGTCTCTTTGCCCTTCTTTGCCTTCTGGCAAAAATAAAATCCAAGTAAAAACCCATTGTTATCCTTTTTTGTAGACAATAGACAGTAGTAGTGTGGTATATACTGGTTAGAACAGTGATGGCAAACCTTTTATAGAGACCAAGTGCCCAAACTGCAACCCAAAACCCACTTTTTTATCACAAAGTGCCAACACTGCAATAAAACCTGAAAACTGAGGTTTTTTAGTTTAGAAAAAACACCTCACAGCCAGTCCAAGCAAATCTATCTATCTATCTATCTATCTATCTATCTATCTATCTATCTCCTTGGCAGCACACTGACCAGCCATGTGAAAGCTTGGATGAGTCGTGGCTAATGAGTCACGGCTCGTGACATCATCGTCTGGCGCTGCTACTCCATTCCAAGCATGCGCATGACCCCTGTGTGCGCTGTTATCCGATGCTCGGCTGCTGGGGTGATGCTGGGGTGACTTGACTTGAATGTCGACATAGAGGGCTCTGCATGCCCTCTGCGGCACACATGCCAAAGGTTCGCCACCACTGGCCTAACCCTACCCTGGTGTACTCGCCCAACAGGGCGAAAGTTCCACTGAAAAGCGGGCAATTTTGAAAATGCCTTCCTTGAGTAGCTTTTTCTGCACAGCTCAACATTTCTGCCCATTCTAAACACATTCCATCCATCAAAATCATGCCAGGACACCTCATTTTTCTAACCCTAACCCAGTGATGGTGAACCCTTTAGAGACCAAATGCCCTAACTGCAACCCAAAACCCACTTTTGTATTGCAAAGTGCCAACACTGCAATAAAACCTGAAAACTGAGGTTTTAATTTAGAAAAAACAACTCACAGCCAGTCCAAGCATATCTATCTATCTATCTATCCTTGGCAGTGCACTGACCGGCCATGCAAAAGCTCAGACGAGTCATGACTAATGAGTCATGGCTCATGATATCATGGCCTGGCACTGCTACTCCTTTCCGAGCATGCACATGGCCCATATGTACGCTGTTATCCAGTGCTCGGCTGCTGGGGCGACTTGGCTTGCATGCCCGTTGTGGCATGTGTGCCATAGGTTCACCACCACTGTGCTAGAATGTCAGATTAGGCACCAGAAGAACACTTTTCAAAACTCCAGTTAGTCATGCATCTCATTGGCTGATCTTGGGCCAATTACAAACTCTTGTCCTAGTTTCCCTCTCAGGGATTTGCAATTATGACCTGAAGGAGTGGACCTTATAGACAGCTTTGAAGCTGGTCAGAAGAAGGATGAGATACAAAAGTAATGTATGAAATAAAATGCATCCAGGTCGAGGCTTCTTTTCTACTGGGTTCTTTAGGAGAAGCAAAGTATCACCATGCAGGTTAACTGGAAGAGGCTATCTGGAAGATCTCTGAAAGGTGAAAGATGGCAGGCAACCAAACTCTGTGGTGGCCTCAAAGCTACCCAAACAAATATCGTAAACTGTAAGATGATGTATCTAGATTTTGTTCTTTTCTATTAAAAGAGAAGCCAATACTTTTTTTCCAAATAATATGTGGCCGGTTTGGATATTGATTTAGATGAATTTGCACAAGCCATGGTTGTTTGGGGCCCACCATTGTCTATCTCCAAAATGCCTTTTCTTTCTAGACAACTGAACCTGGCCAACATTTTGCCAGAGACAAGGCAGCAAGAAATTTGATAATACATGTTGACTCTTTGCTTTGTAAATATCAGGCTTCCTTCTAAAGAAATAAGAGGTATAAATGCAACACAAAGCCACGATCCAATACAGTGCAAAGTTTTGTTTTGTTTTTTAGTTACTGTCGTGTAGGCAAACCCCATGTTCCCTTGTCTTCAGTTACTGTTGTATCATGTCACATAAAATATTGAAAAATCTGTTTCTCTAGTCTGCTGTTCA